TGCCCTTATAGTTTCAACTACCCATAATTAGACTTATACCTTTTTGAATTTTTTTCTTATGTGGGATTTGGACCCTGATACTTTGGTCAATTTTCTTTACCTCTATTTTCCCATATATTTCTTACAATATCCACTATTCCCTTTTGGTTGAGGCTATTTCTGTCTCATTAAGGGTTTTCTGTTGATCATAGTAGTCTCTCTTTCTTTTTGCTTCCATGGCACATTTTTCCTCTTTGTCCCTCATTTTACGGATGTGACTGCTCTGATGTTGGATTCTTCTAGTTTTGGATACTGTTGTCTTATCTAGGGTTCGTTTACCTTCCTCTTCTTTGTGTGAATCACGCTTGGTACCTTTTTCTAAACAAAGAGGTGTTTGGGGTTTTTTCCAACTCTCTGGAGTCCTGGGTTGATTCAGCCCATCTACATAACTCCCTTTCCATTCATCCCCCCTCCATTGTTTCACCATTTAATTCCTTTCTCCCCTTAGCATCAGTTGGAGGCAGTTCAGGACTTGTTTCTCAAGGGTGCCATCAGAGAGGAGATCCTTCTCATTAGCAGATTGCCACCCGGTTTTTGATTTTCTTCTCTGAATCATTCTAAGTTCACTCTAGAGTTGTACTTAACTCTTCATTGGGTTTTCACTCCTGGTTTGTGATGAAGTAGTTTGATGTGTTGGATGCATATCTAAATATTCCCATTTCCCCAGCATCCAGACATTTTTGTTTTTTTTCATTGTGAGTGTGTATCAGTTTCTGGCCTTTCTATTCAGACTTGCCTTGGCTCTCTGTGTGTTCTACTGAGTGGTCCAGACCTTTGCTCAACTGCTTCATTCCCAGGGCCTTTTTTTACACCATGACATGGATGACTGGCTACTTCTAGCTTCCTTACAGGCCAACTCTACTGTACATTCTTAGTTGCTTTTTTGGGAAGATGCCTGGGTGAGTTGGCTTATCAAGGTGGGGTTGTCATTCTTCATATTTACTCAATTTCTGGCACTTCTTGGTGTGTTTCTCACCTTGTTTCTCTGTCAGGACCAGCCTTTCTCCATTTCAGTTGAAAGCTATGGAACATCTCGTATGCAGTGTCTCCTATTCTCCCTTTCCTTTTGAGGACATAGGCTTCTCTCGAAGCCCTCATTCTTCCTGGTCATGCCCACATATGCCATCTTCAGTGGGTTTTGATTAACCAGTGGTGCCTTGTTTGGGTTCCCTTGAATGCTCCTCTTACCATGTCCCCTCACTTACAATCCTTGTTTGACTGGTAGTTAGATCAGATCAATATTACTGAGGGGGTTTCCTCTTCCTCCTTGTATGGATGGTCACCCTTTTTAAAGATGCTTCTCTTTCTGTTTGGGGACCATTTCTCAACACTTGGGAGGTTTTAGGGTGGGGAACTCTTTTCAGATCTGTTCTCCATATCAATCTCATGGAACTTCTTGCTGTTTGTTGGGCAGAATTTATTTTCCTACTGACTTTTTGGGACCAAGTGGTAATGATCCACTCCAACAATTCTATGATAGTGTCCTAAACCACCAGGTGTGGAGGAACCTGGTCGAGATACCTTTATTCTAAATTTTGGATCTTTTATATTGGGTCCACTGTCATCATATCCTGAATCTGGTTGCGGAGCAGTTATCCAGTTCCGATAGGATTCTGCCTACAGGGTAGTCTTTGGATCCTCTCATTTTTTGGGATTTGGAAGCATGACTCTCATCTCGATACACACTTTTCCCGTTTTTGGTCTCCCGATCCCCATCCATTGGCAGAAGCAGTAGATGCTCATATCAGGATTGGACAGGTCATTTTCTCTATGCATATCCTCCTATTCGTCATCTTCCTTGGGTCCTATCAATAGTTTCGACCACTCCGTGTCAAGTTCTGCTGGTAGCACTGTCTTGGCCAGCTCTATCATGGTTTTCACTTCTGTGACAGTTTTTGGTTGTCACCCCCCCTTCGTCAGCCACACTATGTTGTACATCATCCATCCATCCATATACATGCTCTGTCTTCACGCATGGCTTTTGTCTGGTCCCTCACCTGAATGTTGGGACTTTCCAGGCATTATTTCCTTTGGTTTCCCATCCAGTTTGTTCTTCTTCTTTGGTTTACCAGGGTAGGTAATACTGTTGGCCTATATGCCTAGATTATTGTATTTCCTCTCCTACCATTCCTTTATTGCTGTCCTTTTTCACTTGGCTTTATGACTGGAACATATTGGATTCCTTTGTTACAGGTTATAGGGCAGTTTTGTCTTCCACTATTCTGTTTACTAAATTTGCTTCTGTGTTCCAATCTCATGAACTGTCTATGTTATTTTGCTCATTCCCCATTACTTGTCCTCCATTTGAACCTTTGTTGTCATGTTTGTTATATTACTTTTGTTTGTCGTCCCTGTTCCTCGTGTTGCTGGCATGTAGTTACCGTGTTTCCAAAATGTTTGCAATCAGGGTTTGCTATGTTTTGTTCCATAATTACTAACTGTTTCTTTATGCCCAAGACTGATTGCTTGGGAGAGTAATCCTGATTTCACTCCTCATTTCCTTCCCTCCATCCCACACCTTTCGAACTGTTCTGATCTTGACCGGCTCTTTTGCCCAATCAGGATCCTTGGAATATATATGACACGCACTGCTTCCTTCTGTAGTTCCCAATGGGGGCATTATAATGTGACAGTCAATCTCACTATTCATTGATAAAAGAATAGACCAAAGAGTTGGCGGTGGGTGGTGATTAGCTGCCTTCCCTCTAGTCTTACACTGCTAAGTTAGGGACAGCTAGCTCAGATAGCTTTTGTGTAGCTTTGTGTGAAATTCTTAAGAAACCAAACCATAAGAAACTATTGCTTCATAAATATGTTCGTCCCAGCCCGTACACTCATGGACTTATATTGGTAAAGCAGACAGGGATTACTGCTCAGACCTGATGTATAATTCCAGATGCCACCAGGTGTTGGTTGATCAGCTCTGTCAACGTGGTAGCTCTGCTTTTCGAAATGGGTATTGCAGTCACACATTGCACTGTCTCCAGTGCTGCGGTTCTTCAGACTCTGCAACTCCCCCTCTTCTACTGGAGTATGGTAGTCCTTGCTACTCCCCCATTTCCTAGTTGCTGGGGTAGTGGACAATGGAGGCCAGTCCTCCTGAGTGAAATTTTTCTGGTGTTGATGGCATGATGCCCTTCTTACCACTGATCTGATGTACAATTCCGAATGCTGCTACATGCTGGTTGTAGTATTCCACCATATATATATATATATATATATATATATATATATATGTGTGTGTGTGTGTGTGCGTGTGTGTGTATTGCACTTTGCCCCTCTTGCTGAGATATTCCTCCTTTTTACCATCCCCTGGATGTTGGTTCCCAGTTGGGTCAGGCATTGGTTGGAGATGGTCTACCCACATAAGTCCTCACATGTGTTTGACTGGTTCCCTCCTCCTACTGCAGACTGGATGATAAATTCCCAATGTAGCCAGGATTTGGACTGGAGAGGTTACCCCAAATTGATATCCATCTTCATCTTCCTACCAGCCACTGGGATGTCTGTTCCTGGTGGATCTGGTGTTCTTATTTGAATTTGGACGAAACACATGATTACCTGCATGTATAAGGCTGTTTTTCCTGTTCCTACCATGGACTGGACATAACAAGTTGGTTTCTACCATTTGCTGGATGTTGATTCCCAGTGGATCCGTGTTGGTTGTGTTGGAATTGCATGCATACGGAGTAGGGTTCTTGGTACAGATGCTCATATTCCCATCCAGTACCCATTTTTGAGGTGAAAGGTAGAAGACCTTCTTCCTACCGCACACCTGATATGCAATTCCAGGTTCTGCCAGGTGTTGGTTCAGGTTGAACTCAAGTTTATGGTCTGTCATGCCCTAGCCACTCGATAACTAGGGATTTCTTTACTGCTGAAAATGTTTGGGCCCCCTCCGTGTTTCTGCCCTTTAGGTTTGGGTGACACATTCCTGAAGGGTGGAGAGTATACCTGGCTTAAAAGTGGTATGGTCACCCACTGATGTGATGTTTTTCATTCCTTACCACACCTTGTGGTCTTTGGGTGCTTTCTCAAGGAGGATCATATTTTCACTAGTCCTCCACCAGTTCAGTGTGGTGTTCTAGCATTTTGTGAGAGGAGGTAAGATATTGTTTCAGAAGTTAACATTTTCCTAAACTGAAAATATATTTCCAATAGATGCTTACCTCCTTTCACATTTCCCACCTGTCCTTTCTACTTCAAGTGTGATTTGGTTCAATTAGTTATAACCAATCTCAAAGTGATTAACAAGTGCATGATTAAAGAGGGCGCTAGTTATGATAGGGATAGTGTCGCACTCCTATTGGTGGAGGGTTGCTGTATGATCATTTACGTGTTGATATGCATAAAGAAGTGGGAATTTCAAGGCTAGTGGTGTGTGAAAAATTTGTGCTAATAGAGGGCAGTACTAGTCAAGAAAGCTTTGTGAGTGGAGGTAACTATCAGAAATACATTTTCGGTTTAGGAAAACATTAACTTTTTCCTGTTTAACCTTCATTGTTTAACTAATTTAATCATAATTTGTTTTTAATTTATGGAATTTGCATTGGCAGTTTAATTTATAGAATGTTATTTGTCTAACCTGTAGTAGGTGCTCTTGTTATAACATTATTCTTCAAATCCCTGGATCAGATTGAAATCTGTTTTTAGAATACAAAATTGGCTCTGAAAAGTGTTCTGAAAATGTATGATTTTGCATTCTTATTTTCCTCAAATCTGATATTTTAGCTGTTTGTTTACTTCTAGCTGAACAAAGAAATGAAATCTAAACTTTTTTGGCTTTTACAATTAACACCTATTGATTTAGAAATATAATTGTGCTTTTGAATTTTTTATAATTTCTCGGTGCAGGTCCCAAAATGATAATTCTCAAACCCTGATTTCACCTTTTCACTGAGCAACTGTCCCAAAAACAATGTAGTTGTAACTTGCTTTGTTTTTTTTTCTTTCTGTTGTAGGTTTCTGGTGTTACAGATTGCATCACTGATTATGAAAGGAGTGGCCTTTTAAGTCGGCAGGACTCACTTGGCTGGGATAGAGAAGGAAGAAAGTACTGGTTTCTGTGTAGAAGAATTTTTGTGTAAGTAGTAAACGAGTCAGTTTCTATTGTTTTATGCAGTAATATTCTAGTTTTCTGCTATAGTTATTTTTTAAGTAGGGTCGATGTATACACTCGGCAAACTTTAAACAGAGAAGGTTAAAACCTTATAAATATAAATTTGAAATATTTATTATTTTACTTTGTTTTAAAATCTTGTATTGATATACTAAGTTTTTTTATTGTGCTAAAATTTCACATCCACATATTATGACCAGTTGGAATCTAATGCTGTGCAACTTCCTAACTAAATTATCATTGTCAGCGGGCAATAAATATGAAGTGCTTATTTTCATCCTTTTAAATCGTTATGTGGTAGTGAGAATGAAAAGAAAAAAGATTCTTGCAAAATGACATGCTGGTTGCAAGGTTTTTTTCCATAATGGTATGTGTCAAAAGGTACATTACTTGTTCCCTATTGAGCTTGCTGGCTTTGATATGTGAAAGCATCCTGAGATTTTTCTTTTCCACTTCACATTCCTAAATAATAGTAAATACTGTGACACTTTATTTTTTTATTTTCTAATTTTTATCCCTTTTAAAGAATTTCAACCAGAAATTGAATTTCTTAAGAACAGTATGGTGTTTTTTCCTGGTTAATGTTCAGGAGATCATAATATTTACACACATATTATGGTTCCCTTTTTGCAGTGAAGGAAATGGGGAAGTTTTTTACTATTCAACAAAACCTCAAATTGAAGAACTTCTTAATGTTCTCGATCCCAATGACTTTGAAGCTGACCTGTGTCGAACCATTAAGGATTTACAAGAAGAAATGATAAGACAAATGGACGTGACAGAAAAACTTACAAATGCAGCAAAAGGAAGCAGAAAGTCTTACTTTGATGTAGAAAATGGTTAGTGGTATTTTATTATAATAATTTTGAAACTTTCATCACTTGTGCTAAAATAAAGTGCCCCTGTTTTTAATGTTAATTCTTGACAAAATCTAAAATTTAGCATGGAATTTTTAAACCTTTCAATCTGTTTAGGCTAAATTAGAAATAGATTCCAAATGCATTGACAAATTGGGGATAACTTTTTATTCTGTTCTAAAAGTTCACAAGTAGTTTTAAGATAACTAGGTTTTGCTACAGTGTTTTGTTTTAATTGTTTGACTCATATTATTAGATTGCCTCAAAAAAAGGTACCATTGAGTTAGTAATGGCAATTGACATTACATGCTGCTATTCATATATAACCTGCTGCTTATTTGAGAGCCTGCTTATGTTTTCGGCAGTAACATACTTATTTTTCTCAACACACAATTTCTTTATTTTGGTTGCTGTGTGTATAGGTCTTGCCCAGCTGATGAAGTCTGGAATTTAATGGAAAGCTGTCACTTGTTCTTGCAAAAATTAACCTTAGATTTTTATTTCACTTCACTTCTATTTTCAAAATAACTTTTGCAGTCAAACTTAATTTTATCATAATTTTTAGATCATTTTTACTTTTATTTTTCGTGAGTTCATCTTATTGGGCTAGTATATGTATGTATAGGAAAGATTTCTTACTGTCATTTAGCAAACAATATTATCAGTTGATATGCTTGTATTGTCATGTTTTTTTTTTAGTCCTGTTTCAAGGTTTTGTCTTGTAACTTTTAACCACAAATTCAAATTTGAAAGCTAATTTAAAACACTTCTGGATTCTTATGGTGGTCTGCTGTGACACCACTTCACCTTTTGTCACATCCGTGCCTGATGAAGAAAAGTACATATTTTGAAAGTAGTTGGGTTATAGGGTTTCATATCTTTGTCTTTAATTGGTTTGTTTTTTAACTTCATATTTTCTTAACATCATGTTTGATACTGAAGTTACATGGATAAACTTAAATTTATCTCCAGTTGTTAGATTCCGTTTATCAGATTTGGTGGACTTGTTAATTTTTATTTCTTGTTTTAGTTCTGAGAACTTGGAGAAAGCACATTGTAGTACGAAGCTAGTGTGCCATTTGGAATTTGCCTTTCACTGTATTTTAGCTTGTTGTTTGTGAGTTCTGATTTCATGTTTATAATGTTCTTACTAGCAGCTTGGATCTTGATTAGGTACCTTACTTGAGTGAGACTTTGACCTTTTTTGGAAGAAACATAATAGTTCAGTTTTTGTTGGATTTCATTTTACATTCTTTAATAATGCTGAACAAAGAACAGCACTTTAATCAAGGAACATTTGTCAAGACAAATAACATTTTATTTTGGATGTTTGAGATTTCTCTTTTCAATGCTCTATTGCTAAAACACTCAAGTCATTACACTTTGGAAAATAAGGGAAAGAAAACCAAAACAGATCATTTATGAAATCACCATAAGTTATTGTAAAATAATAAATAAATACTACAGAATATTTTGATAAAAATAAAACAGTCAAATGAAAAGTTTGGTAACAAGAAATGTTAAGTGAAAGGGGCTGGTGGTGGTATTGAGGATAGTCAGTGTTTGTTCACCAAGAGGATTTCTTTGAGTAAATGTTGTATGTCAGCCTTGCCTGAATTAAGAATTTTTAAATTATTTAGAGTGATATGATGGTTAGTGTTTTTATTATATGTGTAAATGGCAGATATATTCATGGATCATATACAGCCACTTACATCAGTAGCATTGTCAGTTCCTTCCAGTTTTGATTTTTATCCAACTGTTTCATATGATTATTTTATTTTTATTTTTTTGTGGTGTAGTTTTAAGACTAAATGTTTATTGCCAGCGAAATATTCAATTTTTTAGAGTTTTGGAGTATTTTTTTTAAAATAATAATAAAAAAATTTGACAGAGTCTTGTTACTTTTAATAACCTTATTTTCATGTTTATGGCTTTGGTTTAGTTTATTTATGATGACAGACTGAAAGAGGAAAATTTTCTAAACTTTAAGCTGGATAAAATTAAAGTTGAAGAAAATTATAAATGTATTATGGTGATAAGTAGAGCTATTTTGGAGAGTATCTAGTAATGGTAAAAAAAAATGTATTTATTGTTTTATGTTGCTTTTTGTCATTTGCATATCTTTAATTAGTATATTTCTGGCCTAAAAAGTAATGAAATTACATCATCACAAAGTAGAGTTGATGTAAAACATATGATACTAATATTCAAAATTATTTAAATATGAAGAAGTTATTGCAGTATAATAGCAGTGTTGGCATGTAGAACTACACATCTTGTGTAAGGATGTTTTTAAATTAAGTATGTTAACATTAGTTTTAAAACTGGGATAATCTGTAAACATCATGTTATTGGAAGTATTTCTGTATTGTTAATGAGTATATTGAAGAGATAGCACTATATTATCTTTTTTTTCAGCTGCTCTTATCAAACATCAAGAGGAAAGAGCTCTGCAAAAAATTCAAGATGAGGAAAAAAGGTTACAAACTGATGAAAATAAATTTTTGGAAAATCAAACTACTGAAGGACAAAATATTGTAAGCTGTTGTTTTCACTCATCATTACTCTGAGGTTTAATTTTGGTGAAAAATTATATTTTACAAATCTCCACCTAAAACATAATGTTGAAGTTGTGAGTTGAAAATAATTTTGAGCAAGAGTAGGGAAAAGTAACACATTTTCAGAGAAATGTTTTATTATTGGTTTATTAATACATTCTTATAACAGGTTTTGTTATTAAAAAAAATATATATATATATATATATATATATCCTGAATTAAATAAAGTTTTGAAGTCATGATCTGACTTCAATACCTCCAGTATATAGGAAGTGTAAAAGGAAATAAAGTTAACAGACATTTTGTTTTGCATTTGTTACAGTATGCTTGTAATTAATTTTTCTTCTAGAGTATACTTTTAAAATACTTACAAAACAAATTGAGAAAGTATTAAGTTTTTGTTAAAATAATGTATTTCCTTACCTGGCAGTTTTGATCATTCTTCTCTACGGTTATTTTAGTTGTTCAGAAATGCATTCCCATAGTTTTGGATTTTTTTAAATTGTTGGTCAAAAGGCTGGTGTTATATTTTTTGTTTTTAGGAAACATCTAATTTCACTACTACTGTCTCAACAACAACTGCTACAGTAGTTAGTACAAGTGAAAAAGTTGAAACCCAAGAATTATCAAATAGTTCAAAAGAAAACGTTGACCAGACGGATACAGTGACCACCATCATGACTAAAACTACTACTACCACTACCACAACTAATATTGAAACAAATTTAAATGCTGGTAAGTTTTCAGGTAATTATTGTATAACTTGTTAGCATACATCTTTAATATAACTGATCAAGCTACTAAGTGTTTTCTCTAATTTAAATTAAAGAAAAATAAAATAAAGAAAACCAGCTTTTATGTTTTTTGTTGACTTAATTTGGTTATGCCATACCTGATACTTTTAGTACAAAAAACAACTTTGTATCACATTCTTATTTTAAACATCTATATTTGAGACAGTATGATGTAGTGCCTGTAACTTGTAAGTAGAAATGCTGTTACTTTCATTAAGTGTGAGAGTAAGCAAAGTCTTTCAACTTTTCTTTATAATGTTTTTCCCCATCTACAAATGGAAAATCTAATTTCAAGTTAAAGCTTAAAAGTTTAAAACTCCCAGTTACTTGGATTTATGTGGATATAACTTAGTTGTAACTAAACATGAACAGTTTTAATGGTTCATTTTTTGGAATTAGAAACAGAAATCAAGAATGATGAACAAGAAGAAGACCTTGAAAAAGAGAGTGACAAGAAAAAAGAAAATGGTAGTGGTGACCTTTTAATTCGATTAACAAAAGTAAAGGAAGATTCTGATAAACAAGATACAGTGGAGATTGCAGATGAAAGTCAGTCGGAGGTTGATAAAAAAAAATCTGAAAACATGAGTGACAGAGGAGATGGAAATGGAGATGGTATGAAATGTTATTTTGAATGATTCTTCTCATTAGCTAATGGTAGAGTATTTTATTATATACTGAAAATTATTTAATACTTTAGATTCATATATAAAAAAAGGATAATTAGAAATTATTAGCTATATATGTTCTGTAGGTGTAAAAAAAATAATTGCTATGGTGTAACTCACAAATTTTTATTTATTTTTTCCTTTTTAGAATAATATTCAAAAGTTAGTTTATAAATGAAGGATAATTAAATCCAAAATACTTTTTGAGTATTTTATTACTGTATATATGTTTCATATAATCCCTCAGATCTTGTTATTTATTAAGACAGTATGATAAATGACTGTTTGTTTTATTTTCGAGGAACTGAAATGACATGTAAGCTCGCAAATATCATAGTAACAAAAGACTCTTTGGAAACATATGCAGTGTGTAAATAAGTCAAAAATGGATGTAAAAAATCTTTAGATTTGCAGAAGTTCGTGTAATTCCACTAAAAACTTCACCATGAGTGACTGCTTAAATCTTTCTATGTGAAGTGGGTCAGTTTGACTTATCTTGGAAGTGTGAATTTATATACGTGATATAACTTTGTATTTCTTAAGTATATTATCATGAAATTTGTCAATGCAATAAGTGTGTGCGAGGTGCATACTATTTATGTGGGACATCTAGTTTAACACAGGAAACTTGAACTAAAATTTCCTGAATACACTTGAATAAAGACAGTCATTTTCTAGGATGTTAAAGGGGTTTAATACAACACTGTTTATACATACATGTAGAACTGTAGATTGCCAAAACAATGTAACAATCTATCAGAAAGTTAAATATTAACATTCAGTATCCATAATTTTATGCTTTTAAGCAAAATTTTTGCAATCTACAACAGTACAATGATCAGGATTTTTTTCTAAACGATGTTATAAACTTGTTACAGTTGGGTCTTTTCTCAAAAGCACTAAGATGAGTTGAGTTCTTATATATAGAGATTATTTTTTTGTCCCATATCTCAAGATATGTTATCACATTTTGTTATTTTTGACTTTCTTACTTAGATACACATTTTCATAAACCTTGTGTCATGTTTCATGAAATTCCCTCACAAAAAGAAATATTTTGTTCTTAAAAAGTTTATTTCCTGAGATTGACTATTCACCACATATGAAGACTGATGGTTCGATGTTGATATTGATATCAAATTTTAGGAATTGCAAAAATTAATAATGTTCCTGCAATGTACTCTTGAAAAGAAGCATGTTGATATAAACACACACATATACACTTTTTTTTATCAGATTTACCATTTAGGAGATACAGAATGTGACAAACATTTGACTATTATATATATAATGTTCAAGCATTTTACTGAAACAGAAAGTGAATGTTGACTAAAACATGCTTTGAATTTGTAGTAGAAAGGTTAAACAAAAAGCCTAAGTCATTAAATTTGCCAACATTTGCATTTTCACTTAGTAACAAAATAGGATACTGTTTTGGTACAAGACACTTGCATCTCTTAGTGAGAAAAGTTCAAATTGTAATTGAAACTTAAATGAGCTATTTGTTGAAATTCAACTATATTTCTGAAATCTCAAGTATTAATTTTCTCTTTAGTATTAGAAAAAAGCAAAGCCAATGTGCAGAAGATATTGAAGGACTCCAGGTTGACCATATTGAAACAGCATAAACTCGCATTACAAAACAGGAATTAGATATACAAGGATTTACTCTACACTTTTTATATTCATTGTCATATGTATAGCTATTGGTGTTTGTTGTACCCAAAATGATGTGAACATGTAGTAAGGGAACAAAAAGTACTGAACCAGTACTGTATGTTTTACCTATTTCTAATTTTCAAAGTTAGTAAGTATACGATAATGCTGTGTGTAGATGTTTATGTGTAGTTAGTTACAATGGTTAAAATGAACATTCTTTGGTCACTGGAGGTTTACTTCATACAGTTACTAATTTCATATACTTAAGTTAATGCCAAGTTGAATTTCAGAAGTCATTTACCACCTATGCTATTTGAATTAAAGTTTAAATGACCTTGTGGTCTTGATATTACACTGAACAAAACAACAACAAAAAAAAACACATGTAAGATAAAAAGTGTTCAAAGAAAATTGATATATTGGTTCTTTGATTTTCAATGCAGTGGGTGCATCCAACACATAAAAATACTCTGCTAAGTAACCACTGTGATTTTTTCTGCTGGATGCCAGCTGTACCGCTTTAATTTTTTGCATTAAAGGGGCGATCAATGAGTTATTGAGTAAAATATAAATTCTATTTCAACAATTAAAGTAATAAAAGTATGCATTTATGGGAGTGAAATACCTTATCTATACTAAGTACACAAAAATTCAAGATTTGCTGTGAGTAACAAGTGTACTCCTGGTCAACATTCTTGTGTGTGACTCTCGGAAAGAAAGGTGTGGTATAGACAACATTAGCCACAATTTCAAATAGTATTTTTTTTTTTTGCACTGACTGTTATTTTTTTCTACTTTGGACACTCATAACTTTTAATTCTTTCTGAAAAGAGATCAGTAACTAAAAGTTTCTTACATTTCTGTAATACTTTTATTGAAAGCATCTTTCAAACCATTTTGTTAAAAAAAAAAGTTGTGGTGTGAAGTAGATTCAAATATTTGTATAAAACTAAAATTGTTGATATATTTTTCTGTAGGGAATTCTCCAAGGCCTGGATACATTACACGATCTAAGACTGGATCATTGACACCTCGGGTGTTTAATCTTGAATACTCTACCAACCGCAATCGCAAAGGTGAAGAAGGTGACTCTGTGCTTGTTATTGGTAAAGATGGACAGGTGAATAGAATGACTCGAGCAAAATCCAGTGCCTCTTCAACAACAGGATCTGTATTGTTTAAGTTGGGAATGGAGGATAATTATAAAAAATACACAAATGAGTACACCACTAACCCTCTCGCTCTCAATAAACATCAGCATGCTGAAGATCGAGATAAAAAACGGCATCTTTCTCACAAGTTCAGTTTGACAACACTTAGTGAATTTAAGTGGAATGGCTCAATCTATGGTAGTCGAAGTTTGACAGTCTCTACATTACGAGCGACAATTTTACAACTGGAAAATAGCATTCACAGCTGTTTCTTTCATCCTAATTGGCCAATTCATCGTAACAATTGGATCAAAGCAGTGAATGCCTGTAGCTCCCCTTCAACCTTTTCTCTTGCTTTGAGCATCTTGGAAATGGCCATGAAACCTGTTTTGTTCAACCCTGCATGGAATGAATCACTAGGTAAGATTTTAACTTCTTTTTCAGATTTTAGTAAAGTGTGGAATGAACTTGTTTCAGTTTAGTACAATGTTTAGTTTAGGGTTTTACATGAACTTGTTTTAGTTTAGTACAGGGTTTTACAGATAGACAAGAATGTCAGTTGTATTGGGCAAACTTTGTTGAACATTTAAATTATGTAAAGGAAACAAATTCTGAAAATTTATTCAGATAAAATGAAATTTCCAAAAAATTGGATTGTTCATGCTGGAAATCAAGAAAATGAAATTGGTCTTTACTTAATTACATGACAGAAGCTAGGTTCTGACATCTGGTACAGAATTTAAAATAAAACTTGATCTCTCATGTAAAAAAATGTATGTAACTAAGAAATGTTTTAGCAAAAATACATTTTTCCACAATCTTTTCTTATGATAGAAAACTCTGCAGACAGTGTATATTTTTCTCTTCACTTTATCAATCAAACAAGTTGAGCATTCTGTGCATTAAGCTTAAACACTCAGTTTTCTGCTCACACTAGCATGTATGTTTAGACTTTAGTTGAGATCACAAGAATGGGAATCAGTGCCATTAGCTGCCTTTCATCATGTCTCTACCAACAGTAGATGGTTTTTTGTTTGGAGAGCTAGATTTGAACAGTATACCTTTGCCTTAATAATATCTATATCTTAGTGAGTAATTTACGTTAAATTCTGTACTTCTTGGAGGGATGGTGAATAAATTAGAGAAAAGGGAAGACCTACAGAGCAAATGTTATAATTTTCATACTAGGGGAGATTGAAATTTTTAAAAATATTTCCTTCTAAAATTAAAAACTTAAAACTTGTATAGTATTAATATTTGATTCATTAACTGTGTTTTAATGCCATGCTTATCCATATATCTTAAATATGACCAAATCAGTGGTGGTTCTGTTTAATGCTCTGTGGGGGATCCATTGGCATATACAAACCTTGTTGTGCTTCTGAGGGACTGATTTACAAGTCAATGATACATTGAAGTCAGCTGTGGGCACTGCAAGTTGTATGCTGTTTGTGATGGTTCAGGAGAATTTTTTACCAGGATTGAGATTGACTGTTTTAAACAAGGTATCATATTGTTAAAGAACTCCTGGTTTTGATCCCATAAAACATTTGTGTGACCTCCATAGGCACAGTGTAGGTCAGTGTCTTGAACCAGCCCTTGATAACAGAGAGTTCGGCATTTAACTAAAGAATGGGCAAGGATTCCTCATAATGTCATTTGCTGACTGAGAAGATGCACAGACTTATCAATGCTAGAAGAATCTATGCTTATTAATGTGTGTCTAATTTTGCCACACATAACTTAAGTTGATTCAGTTAAACTGTATGGGATTTAAGGGTTATCAAGTTCCATTGCTTGTAAGTAGTGATATATGGCCATATGATCAATGAAATAATTCATTAACTGTATTCAATTAATAAATAGTGTTCCTAAAATGTTAAATTTCAGCTCTTTTGTTCATTTGGTTTAAGAAAATTGAATTGTAAATTAAAATTTTGGTATACATATATTTAACTGTTTTACATCCAGAATTTAAAAGTTAAAGTGTCTATATATGCATAGTTAATGTTTCTTTAATGATATTTTGTCCTAATAGATTTTTTTTAATTTCCTGTTCTGAGATTGCACTAGATACCCAGTACAAACAGGATGAACAATATAATATGCTCTGATGTGAAACTAAAATATTGTCTGACATTAAGAGCTAGGTCAAGAAATTTAGTTCTTACCTGGGTCCTATGTGTGTTAAACATGCACATGGCAAACATTGTATTATAACTGTCATAACTTATCTGGCTTTCTAATTGCAATAAGAGTCTTTAAAAATTCAGCTAAGCTTGTCAATGTGAATACTATGAGAAAAAATTTCAAACTGAAGGCAGAATAGATAATGTTTGATACAGAAAACAATGTAATATAATATATCATTTGATAGATTAAAACTGGCATTTTATTGGTTATAAAATGTCAGAGAGAACTATTTGCAATTTGTGGAAGAGAAGATATGCCAGGTGAGCATGGCAATTGGGTCTGATTTTCTAGTTTATGGCTCTGTAAACAAATATGATTGAAGGCTATAAAAATTATGCTTTTCTTTAATAATATCTATATTATAGTGAGTAATTTACATTAATTTCTGTACTTCTCAGAGGGGTGGTAAATGTTAGAGAAGAGGGAAGACCTAAAGTACAAATGTCACAATTCTCATAGTACGGGAGATGGAGATTTTTTAAAATATTTTCTTATAAAATTAATAACTTAAAACTTATATAATAATAAAATTAGATGCATTAACTGTGTTTTGATGCCAACTTTATTCATATACAGCGATGATAAAGCAGTTTAATTAAATTTTGAATGTAACTGTAAAAGGTTGTGACGTGCACTTTGAGCAAGAGGATTAACAGGAAACTGTTATACAAACAGACTTAGCCAGCATTGTGTGTATACTTCTACTCTATACAATACACTTGGTAATAGCTTTGGGAATAGGTTACTTTTATATCTAATAACTTCATCTACCACATTCAACTAGGAAATGCCTTGTTGAAGAATTGTGGAAATATTTTTCAGAACTCCATACCTAACAGAATATAGAGCCTGTAGTAGCTTTATATGGCTGTTGGTCTCATTGGAGGATTTACAAACTATAAAGATACACATACAAATACATTTTTACAAGATAATTTTATTTTTCCCAATTTTAAAAACTATTACCCTGTTTTGATTGTATGTAAAGGAATTATAAATTATACTGTAGGTTGAAATTGGCTAGTATTTAACAAGCTTTCAGGAAGTTTTAGTAATATTTAGACTTGTAATGTTCAATTTTATTTTGTTATGATTTGTTTGTGTTTATGATAACTTTTAGACTCAATGCATCTATTTTCAAACCAATTTTTATGAAATTTTATGGCTGTACTGCCATAATACATGCTTAGTTCATACACAGATATTGTTTTATGTGAAATATTAACTTGATAGTTAAGAAGCAGATATATAACCGCAATTCATTAGGTTTTTTAATTCTATATGGTGTAGTTAGTTTTTGATATGTTGAGAGTTTCAAGACTGCTAGTATATCAACTTTGTTGTAGTAAAGCACCTGACATTCAAATATATATTACAAAATATTTTTAGTAAAAATGTACAAAAGTGTAATCGAACTTGAAAAAGTGAGAAATTAGAATTTGAATATTAAAAAGTGCATGTAACTTTCCAGGTCATACTCGTTTACAAAGAACAACTATGTCCAATAGGGAAGACCGTAAAAAGCAGGAAAAACGAGAAAAACGAGAAATGTTGGAAGAAGAAAATGAACGTGTTATGTTCATTAAATATACTTTAGGTTTAAAGCATCAGGTAAGCAGATGTATCTAATAGGCTGCAGATAGTACTGTGGGATTGACAATAAGTCAAAGAGAAGGTGCAAAAGTCAGAGAATAAAGAGTATCTGAATATTTAGTTGAAGAAAACTGGACATTTAAAAGCAGATGTTTATATTCTTTCATTTGCTGTATGTGTGATTGACTTAACACTTTTGAAGTGACAATTTATATCCTTAACTTCTTTAACTCTTTGACACGGACTTGGTCCTTGGGACTGATCTCTTAACCATTTTGTGCTTGTTATAGTTTTCATGCTATAACTTTTAAATTAGTAAGTGTATATTAATGAAATTTGGTAGATTATCAATAAACATTACAATTTTTTTGGACATTTTTATTGCCTAAAAAAGAAGACTTTTGGCAGCAAAAAGTGATTTGAAGTGGTAATGTGACTGAAATCTGTCAGCGCATTATGAGCTCAATGGCCAAGTGCAAGAAGTATGGAAGCCTCCAAATGACCCGCAGAGGTATTCAGGAACTGTTTAGAACCACCTTGGTACGTATTGTGCAGCAAGCCAAGTACAATATTATGCCTGTAGCTGCTTTCAAAATGTTCCTGTCTGCTTATCCTACTGCTGACTATCGTGATGCTTTGACCATCCCTACTGAATCGCAGGTGAAATTGTTCATATCTCAATTGAAAACTAAACATTAAAAGGTGAAAGCAGAAGCATAAAAGGTTGGCAATTGCTTAATTAATGATGCTGAAAATGTGGCTATATTGATGCATGTTGAATTTACTCCCAGCATGTAGACCTTAGTACAAACTAGTATTGAGACTTGATGGTGCTGTATTTCACTTAAAGATTTATAAATTAACAAACGAAAACTTGTCTCAAAGATCTGTCCAAAATCACCTTCATTGGGAGTTTCTGGATTGAACTTAGTTTTAATATTAAAAAAATATAGTGTAAATCTATCGGGCTTATTCAACCAAATGAAAAAGTTCAATAAATTAACACTCTCCAGACAGGTCTCAAAAATTGTATTGAACTACTATTTCATGAATTTATGTCAATAAGTCTGGTATTAAATTGTAATTATAATTCAAATTTTAGAACTATATATTACTGAATTTGTTAATTTAAAAGTAAGTATTAAAAAACAAATAAATATAAATTTTTGTGTGTCACATGGTATGTTGAAAGAAGCATTGGTTCAAATTAGATGTTTGTGAAATCAAAATACTAAGTCTGTAGTTTCATACGAATTAGAAATTCCAATTACAGATATTGACAAGCTAGAATTTAAAATAAGTAGGTCTTATATTTTCTGTTTGCTAAGATATTGTTCACATAATAAACCAAACACAGTGGCACCCCGCTCATCTCTTTCCTTTTTTGGAAACAATCCCTTATATGCACTTACTTCTATATATGACATGAATAACCAATCAGAAGCTCAGAATGTCCCCCTAGTAGTTTTCTCAGCCTTTCTAATGTACCTAATGCCATTGTTTTCTTTTGAACCAAGATTTCTATGAGGTAGGTTGTGTCTTTAGTCTACTCAAAATTTCATATTTTTTAGACCCACATACAGCTTAGTTACTAAGTTTGATAAACTATAATAGAATTCTGGGGTATTGATGTAGTAATTTATGATTTTTAGTTATTCAAAAG